TTTGAAAGATCAAAGGTCACACTGAGTCCACGGTGGACAGCAGATTCCAAAGGGCGGAAAACCAAGACCCAGGAAAGAAAAACAAAGGCACAGGCAAGCTTTGTGCTTTGTTCGTCTGTTCTCTGGAAGCTTCTGCAGAGCTCTCGTGACATGAACAGAATCTGCTTAGAGCAACAGCTGTCCTCCATGGCCAGCCTTCTGACCTCGCCATTTCAGCTGCTAATTTCCAGGAAATGCAACTCATTTCACTTTTTTTTTTTTTGGGGGGGGGGGTTTTGTCTGGGGATGGGAGGGACAATTTGGGAGGTGGGGTGGCCCGCGGACCCCGCCGGCCGCGTCCCCTCAGCCCCCGCCGGCCGCGTCCCCTCAGCCCCCGCCGGCCGCGTCCCCTCAGCCCCCGCCGGCCGCGTCCCCTCAGCCCCCGCCGGCCGCGTCCCCACACAAGGGAGGACGGCCCGCGCCCCTCCGCGCGCGGCTCAGATTCCCCCTGACCCGCGGCACTGACCTTCCGGCCGCCCCGCACCCGGCGCTTCCGCACCCGGCGGCCGACAGCCACGCCGCCGCCGCTCTTCTCGCTCCCGGAGCCGCTTCCCAGCCCGGGTCGGCCGCCCCGCACCCGGCGGCCGACAGCCACGCCGCCGCCGCTCTTCTCGCTCCCGGAGCCGCTTCCCAGCCCGGGTCTCGAACCGCGGTCCCCGGGAGACGCCCGCGCCGCGCCGGTTCGCGGCTTCCTCTCGGCGCCTCGCCAGCGTCCCCTCACAGGACTGTTCTCGTCAGCGTCTCACTATGCTTATTTTATTTTATTTGTTTAATTTTAGTTTTTATTTGATTTGATTATTTTATTTCATTTTTATTTTTATTTAATTTTTATTTAATTTAACATTTTATTTATATTTTATTTTTTATTTTTATTTTATTGATTTATTTTATATATTTTATTTTATTTTTTATTTTGTTATTTTATTTTTTATTTTAATTTATTTTATATATTTCATTTTATTTTTTATTTTGTTATTTTATTTTTT